GCAGGGAGGCTACCCCAACAAGCATGCCCAGGTTTGCAGTGGCAGGTTCCCAGCCGTATGTGGTCATATAAGGCTCTGCAGCGTGCAGGGAGGGAGCTCAGGACTTACTCTGTGGAAGACTCTGGGATCAGAAACGGAACCTGGGTTTACAATTTGAAATGGAATTTTACACCAGACTAAACCAACCAACCTCTCTGCTTTATTCCTAAAGGCAAATGAAAATGTTTGATTGACTGGTGGCTCCAAAGGTCACCCACCATATGCCATGACATTGGCTGAGCACAGCTGAGCAAGGTGCCCTGAGCTGCTGGGGCACTTGGCCACTGAGCTGGTCTCCATTCACAGTGGTCCCTCTGGGCTACAGTGTGTTGGGGCAGGGAGAAGGCGCCCGCAGGAGTGAAGAACAGGATTTCATTAGTGCTTAACTGTGGGATTGTAGTAAACAACAGTGAGCATTAAGATGCACTTGAATAATGAAGCTCCTAACACTTTTTTTTTAATTTTAACAGCTTGAAATACATTTCACTTACCATAAAATTCACCCATTTAAAGTGTATGGTTAAGCATTTTGTTTTTGTTTTTTTTTGTATATTCACGGAGTTGTGCAGCTATCACTACCAGCTAATTTTAGAACATATCACCCCAAAAAGAAACCCCATACCCATTGGCAGTCATCCCCATTCCCCTTCCACTCCCAAACCCTGGCAATCACTAATGTACTTCCTATCTCTAAAAATGTTCCTAGTGAAGACAATTCATCTCAGTGGAATAACATACCATGGCTAACACCACTCTCCTGCATGACATGTTCTAATTCACCTCATGCTTCCTTCACAGATAGTTAAAAGATTATTTGAATTGCTGCCTTGCACACAGTGAATTTCTTTCTTTCTTAATTTCAAAATACATGATCTTACTTTTTGTTGGAATATTTTAAGCCTATCTTAGAGTTTCTGTATTTTCTTACCTGTATACTAATAAAAACAGTTAAAAAAAAAAAGAAAAAAAAATAATTCACCTCACGCTTCACCCATATTCTTTTCCTCCATTCTCATGTCAGCCACTGTTATTTCCAGCATTAGGAGGAAGCCACATTCAGAAATGCAGAATAATTTGCCCAGTGAGTGGGCAAAGCTAGAATTCAGACTTGGGTCTTTTTGCAGTAAACCCAAGCTTAGGTCTCTTTAAGTGCAAATGGCTAAAGTTCTGAGTTCAGATTGGCTGGTCCAAATACGAGTGAAACTGCTATTGCTGGTATAAATGGTGGCTGAGCTTGGCCTGGGCTCCCTGGCTGGAGTGAGGCTACAGGGCAGCAGCTGAGTCAAGGAAGAAGGGAGGCCATCCTCAGCAGATAGTGAAATCCAGCAAGCCAGCAAACCAGGGAACTGGCTGCTGATCTGCTCCCTGGGTCTGAACTGCAGATCTACCACCCAAGTTAGCCCCAGCCCTGAACATCAGGACCAGTATGGGAATTGGGGCCTCCCTTCTCTCAGGGGAGGAACAGGCCCCTCCCCTGACACTCCAGTTACCTGCCCTCCACTCCCCTCACTCTTCCTGGAGCACTTCAGCCTGGCTGGGGGGCAGGGCTGCGCATGCTGGCTGAGCCACAGAGGCACCAGAGGGAGAAACTTTAGTACACGGTCACCTGTGCCCCATCTCCAGAGACCCTGCCTGAGTTGGCCTGCTGGGAGAGAGGCCCATCGGCACCCCGACCTTCCAGTGGCCAATCCAAAATACCTGGCTTGGTAGAAATGGTAAATCACAGTTAAACAACAGTCTAGGTATGCACTGGCCTGAACTGGTAGCACCTAGACTGTCTTAGCAGGATTTGGGACCAGACTCAAAGGTAAGCCTCAGTGCAGGGCAATTTGTTGGAGAAAGTAAGGAGAAAGCACGGCAAAACTAGAGAGCAGAGTGGGGAAAGATTCATGCAGCGGGGAGTGGCCCTTCTTTCCTTTCTTTCTTGGGAGATGGGCCAGTGAGGTCACTCATGTTAGGAACGTTTGTTGGAGGGGCAAAATGACGCCCACTCAAGCAGCCACCTTCCAAAGAAAGAAGTGGCTGGGGGGCTGAGTCAGCTGAGGGTTAGGCATGGAGGTGGTGCAGGTGCTGAGGGTGAGCAAGGAACCAGGGGACGCTACCCCTCACTGATCACCAACTTCCCACACCAGAAAGTCAGCATTGCCCACATGGAGATCTCCGCCAGCCTGGCTTTTTGTTATCTTCTCTTTTCCTAATAAAAGTCCTTCCCCTTTCTTTGAGGCTTTCATCTCTGGCCCTGTTCCTCCTTTTTAAGCCATGTTTCTAGAAAGAGTAGTGGAAAATATAATTCCTCTTCTATCTCCTGCAATCTGGACTCTGCCCCTCTGGGTCTACACTCCAATGGTGTGGCCCTCCCGTTCCTTGGGCTGCCCCTGGAGTGTGGCATGCAGATCTTCTCCTGAATGTCCCTGTTCTGCCTCCACCATTGTACATTGCCCATGGAACCACACCCCATCACACCCAAGGATGCTTGCTCTTGACTGTGGGGTTGTTCTGTCTTTATTCCTTTCCTTTCTTCCCTAGCCCTCTGTCCCATGTTCCCAGGCCACTTCTGACTTCATACATGACCTCTAGGCAGAGGGTCCTCAAATCTTCATCTTTAGCTCCTATTCCCCTGAAGTTCTGGCCCACATTCACTCCACCTGAGGCATTTGCCAGCTCCTCAAATTCAGGAAATCTCAAAATCCCATTCCCTTCCTTCTATGGCTTCTCCTAATATACACACTGAAGACAAATCACCCTCCCTTTCCAACTGGACCTCTTCCCCTGGATACATTCGTGTTCTCACTTATACCTCTCTCCTGATCCTTTTACCTCCCTGCTCTATGGTATTATCTGTAACAGTAATAATATTAGCAATAGCAGCAATGACCATAATAGTGGCAAATATTTATAAATCACCCTTCTGAAAGCTTTCTGGTATTAAACTGATTAAACTTTGCCCCAAGGACTTGAGGGGGGTCCCGTGATCCTCCCCATTATACAGATGAATAAAGTTAAGTAGATTGCCCAAGTTTATCTAGCTAGAAAGTGTGGGCTCCAGAGCTTGCCAGCCTCAGCACTAAGCTGGACTTGTTTAATATCCCTATGATGAAAGTAGTTCCTAGAGGGCAGGACTGACAGCTGCTGACTTAGGGTTACTCCAACTCAAGAGCAGGCAACGAAAGTGTGAGAATAGTCATCAGAGCACAGGAGTCCTGCATCTTTCAGGGGCTTTGGAGGAACCCCCACAGAAGAGAAGACAGACCGTAAGAGAGGAGTACAGTCTTTGGTGAAGGATGTCTACCCTTTTTCTTTGGTAGAGTTGGCCCCGCCAAATTACCCTATGAGCAAGAATGTGCATAGACCATTCTCCCTAGAAGATGCCTTCACCACCCTTCAACGTGGTTATTTCAGGGTCTTTGGAAACCCAGCATCTGCTCCATTTAGCTGACGTGGCCCTGGAGATTCACAGTGGTGCTGAGAATGGTGCCATGTGTGAAGTCCGGGAGACAGTGGGTCAGCAGACCTATAGAAGACGGCCCAGGGGGCCATGGGAGGGTGCAAAATCCACAGCAGCCAAGTTACATATGTGTAGTTGAGTATTCTCCCTCTAAATTTTACATACTACATTTTAACATTTTTCTTAATGAATTTTATCTTTTTAATTGGTTCCTTTAAGGGGTGACCTAACATTTTCCAAGTTCTGATCTTCAGGCATGGATCAGCAATTTCGGTGCATGACTGGGTCCTCTCTTGGCAGCACACACATTTCACTGTTTACTATTAAAACTTTCCATTCATTGATCACCCCGCAGTATGACAGGAAGTCTACTACTGTGCGTGGGCACACGCAACAATGCTGGATGTGCCAGTGAACCCGAAGATTCAAACATACACTGAGAGGCCTTGGAAATGGAGCCCACTTCAGAAGCAGAGCACCCTGCCTCACCCCCACATGTCTGTGGGGCCATGCTGTGCCTGGACCACAAAGCAGTTAGACCAGTCAGCTCGCACCTCAGGCAGGAAAGGCAGCAGAGAGAAGGCCCCAAATTCTCCACACAGGAGAGCTAAGCCTGGGAGAGCAGACTAAGGCCCCAAGAGGCCAAGCAGTGGGTCAGGGTAGGCCAAACCTAAAGTCCTCCATATTCTTGCACACACATCTCATTCATTCTCTGTGAGGTTGCCCCCAACAGCTCTGGCAGCCAACTCAGCAACTCCATGCTGACACTCCCTCTCCTCTGCCATTTTTTTACCCCAAGCCAACCGACTACACACACACACACACACACACATTATTATTGAAATTTCTGAATGAACATGAAAGTAGAGAGACTAGCAAATATTTCCCACCTACCCACAGCCCAGCTTCAGCAAGTACAACACATGCCAATCCTGTGTCATTTATCCACCTTTTTTGTCTTTCCCTTTTGGAGCAAGGGACTGAACTATTTGACATGTTATATACTGTACTTATTTTGTTTGTTTATTGTCTCTCTTTTCCCCGAACTAGAATGAAATAAACATGAAGGCAGTAATTTTTTTTTTTTTTTACTATTCATTTCACTGCATTACTCTCAGAGCCCTCAACAGGGCCTATCATGCAGCGGAGGCTCAACAAATAGTCAGTGACTGAATACCTAAGTGAATGAATGAATGAGCTTCCCACCCAGGCTCCCCCTGGGTGGCCCCCATGCTTCCATTTAATGGGGCCATGTGCAGTCAACAATACTTCCCTTGTTCCCCTCACCCTACCCAGGCCAGCTAGAGGTAGGAAAAGCAGTAATTATTCATCACAGGCAGTGTGGGCAAGTTTCTACTGCTGACAGGATCTTACAAACCAGTCCCATAAGCAACCAAGAAGGCTCAGATATGGGCAACATTCCTAAAAGGCTACACATGGAGCAAAAAATATTAAATGTGTATTTTTGAACCATGCGTGACAGAACAGCAAGCTCAAGCATATGTACAATACTCACATGCAACCACGAAACCTACTCAGGTCGTTGTTTGGCTTCTCACACTCGATTACGCTGGTGAACGTCAAAGGATTGAATTCAGAGACCTAAAACAAGAGCATGCATACATTAGAGAAATTTGGGCTCTGACCGTTCCATTCTTTTTTTTTTTTTCCAATTTTTTTTTTT